TCTCGTCCGCACATCAACAACAACAATAAATGCTAATTTTCGCACCACAAAAGAGCCATCCATGCAGAAAGTTGCAACAACAGAACAAAAGCAGCTCCTGCTGTATGTACACAGAATGTCCAGCTGTGTGCTGAGGTCGGTCAGCATCTCGAGAGAAGCGTAGCCAGCAAGCAAGGCTTGGCGCGGGACACGAGAGAAGCAAGCAAGGCTTGGGGCGGGCGGCGAAAAAAAGAAGACGACTCTATATAAAAAGATCTGTAAAAAGAAGGGTTGGCGCGGGCGGCGAAAAAAATGAAGACGACTCTTATACAAAAAGATCTATAAAAAGAGGACCCTCAACGACAAGTCAACCAATCTGGTCGTTCCGATGTGACGATGTAACGCAGATCTTCTTGTCGACGGAGAAACTGGTTATCGCCCCACAGCAAGCGATAGATGCTCAAACGACTGTGAGAGGTCTTGAAATCGTCTCAGCTACCCAGAACTGCTGGTAGTTCTCGGAGGTTCGCAGTGTGGGCTGAGATCGGCCTTTTCGACCCGGTCGGGCAAGGGGTCCGCTATGCTACTGAAAACTCCACAGACGGAAAAAAAAGACTTTTGATCGACTGAGACCCAAGCTAGAGCTTGGGAATTGCCCGTGAGACTAAACCAGGCACGACACGAGTTTACGCTGGGTGGAGCCGACTGGATGCCGCTCCGAGTCCGAGTCCATACACACCGAGGGGCGGGGAAAAGAGGCCTACCGCATTCACCAAAATAACCTATCAAGAGAGTGTGTGCGAGCCGCCACTCGAGCACCATCACAAGGACGACGAAGAGGCTCCCGCAGCTCCCTTGAGTTCAAGCCTGCTCGCTTCCATGGGAGGGCACGCCTTCATCTTCTTGCGAGCCAAGTCAAACTGCTCTTGGTCGAAGTCGAAGGTCGTGCTCACCATCTTCAGCGGAAGCCCCCCGCGGATGTCCGGTGTGAGGCCTCTCCCCTGATGGCGTGTTAGAGCCAGAGAGGACGGAAACGCATGGGGGCGGGAAGAGCGCCGTCGCGGGGGGGGGTGGGACTCAGAACCACGGCTGGACGTGGTCTTTCAGCCACAGACCCTCATCTTCCTTGTGGCCGGACTAATCTGGGACACGGCACGTTGAGTTTCCCCCCCCAGGCTGACAATCGCACCCAATTCGACGTCACGCGCACCGTACGTAGGGTAACCTCTACATCAAAATCGCTCGTGAGGCGGACTTTGCATAAACACGACTGTACTTCCTGC